GTGATATTCGGAATCTACGAAAAAAAACTGCATCGAATGATATATAATTCGACGCGTTTTGGAAAAAAAAGTTTTCGTCCTAAATTTTAGGCAAAACACCTGAGGGGGACCTCAGGCAAAAATTTCGAGGAGAACTTTTTGTCTTCCTTCAAGCTCAAACTTAGGTGAAAAAGGTTTCTCGACATGCCCGATCCGAATATGACGGCCTCCCGGCTGGAATCGTTGCGGATAAAAAGTGGGTAGTTTTCATATGCGGTAAACCTACAAAAAACTACTTTTCAAGGTTTATGAGTGGATTTCCTCGGCAAAACCTTAAAATACCGCTAAAACAGGTTTTTTAATATTCAGCGTTTTACACCATTTTTACTCTCAAAACCTTTACTAAACTATTTTGTTTGCTAGTATTCTTGCTAGCAATTCTTTTTCAACACCTGTCTGATCGGTATTCAGAATTTCTGAGAAAGTGAAATGCACTGAATGTTTGTAGAACTCTAAAATGAAGTCCTTTTTTGATTTTTCAACTTCGTCATTTATTTCAACTTGATGATGAGGAATAATGTTTTTTACTCGACGAGACACTAATTTATGTCGGGCTTTAAAGTTTTCGAGCCAATGATGTGAGGCATGGAAGTCGTCCAATTTCAATTCTTTGACGATTTTCAACCCCCACCGTTGCATAATATACAACGATGAACTCGACTTGGACAATCCAAGTCATGCACAACAAGACGTTTTTCTCTCGCTTCAACAAACTGCTTATAAAGTAACTCGTCCACATTGTGTGTTTTTTGTTTCTTTGTGCTATCGTGCTATAAATATAGTCGAAATCTGTCGACATAATATCTGTTTGGGATTGTTCTAAACCTCTGATGAATGGACTTCCATGTGCGATCATGTTTACCCGACTCGTTCGTTTCATAGGCGACGACTTTACGCATTAAATCCACGGAGTGCTGCTTTAAGTCTGAAATATCCAGAAGAGATCTCAGTTAAATTCTGCGGTTTTCTTTTTGAATTTGATATGTACGGTTTTTGTCCTCATGTGAATTGGATAGAACAAAGATTGTGTGTGTCCAAAACTAAAAGATGTGGCAAGGGAACGGAAACTACCAAAGAACGTAGTTAACGGATAACTTACTACACTTTTCTAATGCAATTTCTTCGTTCTCCCAGTCTGGATCTGCTTATTTACTACCCCCCAGCATCAGTTGACTCGTCTTCGGCACTTTCTCCCTCCTCTCTATCGTACTCATCCGACATATCGCCGAGATCTAAAGTTGTCTCCTCCTCATAATGAACTTTTCCACAGTTTGACAGTGAAGATATTGTGTCGGCTAAATGTTCTGCTATTTGACTCTCCGTTGATCCCAACGGAGACGCCGTACTAACAGCTAAGTTATTTGAAACTAAATCACTCAAAACGGAGACAATATTTTGAGCATTCATGGTTTCTGCAAAAAGGAAAAAAATTGATAATTGCGTGAACAAAGCGGATGATAAGCCTTACTTACCAGTAGAAAAGACTGCTTTTGGCTTGAAGAATATATTGACAACTTAAATGATAGTTAAAATCTAAAGAAAAGTGAGATCGTTTATCTAAAAAGCAAGAGAAATCGTTAAATGAAATTTTTAAGAGTAAAAATGGTGTAAAATGTTGAACATTAAAAAACCTGGTTTTTCAAGACTGGAGTCTCTGGAGGTCCGTACGCAAAAACCATTATGATATTCGGAATCAGCACCCTTGATTAGCTATCGTCCACTAAGATTTAGTCCAAAAGCGGTGAAACAGTTGGAGGCCTTCCCTCGTAAGACTTGCGTTCATAACAGTCCTTGGTGTATACGTATCTTTTTTCGACTGTATGTGATACTACGCACCTCATCTATGATAGCCAGTTCATGAACCACTAAAAATCATCCTAGAAACTCGGACGACTACTAGCACTGGCATGACTATTATTAGCAATCATACTCAATAAACTCTATTGTTTTTCGTGTTACATAACAAAAAGTTTAAGTAAAATTTGAGTAATACTCATGACGTCTACTATATTTACGTTTTTTACCGCGTGAGTATATTTATATACGCACACTATCAGATTGTTAGATAGACAATCTTCGCTGTTATTGTTATTGATAGTTACGGTTATTGCTACCATAGTAAATAGATCATCAATGATCGAGTTCTAGATATGGTTATAAGTAACTATGTCAGTTGTCAAGTAAGTATGCTGAATTTGGTGGCGATACTTATTTTATTCCCCGAATTAAAGGAATTTCGAAAGACGAGTCTTTTTGAAAAATTCGATTCTACCCAACATGTCTGATGCCCTTATTTTTTAACCCAAACTCTTCAACTTTCCAGAATAAACTTGATTCAAGACGTTTCATCGAATTGTAGAATCAAAAGCGCAAGGAACAAAATAAAATCTTGAGGGTTTTTCAGAAAACCTATGAGCACCTTTAGGTAAAATCTCACCATAAAAACAATTTTTAGGTATCTTAATTATGAATCAGGGCAAACTGACTGGGTTGTGGAAATATGAAGGGTTTTAGTTGAAAAACAAGGGGGCCAGACAGTTTTTATTATTGCGTGAAATGGGAGAACGAAGAAATTGCATTAGAAAAGTGTAGTAAGTTATCCGGTCGCATATGGAAGTTCATTCATCAGAGGTTTAGAACAATCCCAAACAGACTATATGTCGGCAGATTTCGACTATACTCGAGGCAGCTTTAGCACAAGGCTGGGTGATACTCCAGGCAAGAAAACAACACTGTAAAATGGCGAGAATGAAAAAATTCGGTCTGCGAAAGTAGGACTCATGTAGCGACCTATCGGAGTCACTTAGCGACTATATCTCATTTTGATTGCTATATGTAGTGTTCAATGGTCTCAATCTCTTCACACTCATCAAAAAGAGAAAAGTTTCAAAACCAGGGAGAAGATAGGTTTGCGAGAGAGGTAGCTCATTCTGTCGAGTGCTTACTCTTGTCAAAATTGTGCAATACAGGTATTTGGTTTTTGTGACTCAATGGTACATGATTAGACTCAGTTTTTGATGAGGAATCCGAACATATCAAATTCGAAAAATTACAGTGAACGAAAGGGGGCAAAATCTCATGTTTTCTTAGAATGATGCAAATCTTTTGTTTTTTCGGTGCCCCTAGTATTTTGAAAATTTCTCCCCAAAAGCTTGATCGAATTCGAAAAAAAGGTGATATTCGGAATCAGCGCAGTCAGGAGTACCTGAATATGTAGCTTTCGACAAAAAACTGAGATAGTGCTCGATTTTTGAATTGCGCGCACCTTACATATTGTTGAAAAGATGAACTGAATAACCTTAAAAATAAGTAAGAAGGAAAAGAGAATATAAAGAAACTGATCTGAAATATGTGCAAAAAATAAATACTCTATCCTCCTGGATCTTCGATTAAATTTTTTTGAGCACCATCAGGAAGAATAAAAAGAGGAATAGAGTGTACGGTATTGTTCAATTTTGGTTTATGGCTTAAAATTGCTAAAGATTCTTTTATTAATAATCTATATGGATTGTTATATTTAAGTAATATTTTAAAATCGTCTCCATTTATTTTGTCTTGTATCAGAAATATGTTTAGAAATTGCTAACTTATTTTCTTTTACACCCATGGGAGCAGATGTCGAGTCGTCATCGTTTGAAAGTGATAAATTAGATACAATTGTTAGATTATTTTTGTTTTTATTAGCTATTCGATAAGAACATCTTAAGTTGCTTGCATTAGACTATGGTGTGACTCCTGTTTTAGTTCTAGCCTTCTTCGATGGTCCAGAAAGACTGTGAACGTGTGGAATTGAGGTTTTTGTACTTGACGAGTTCCCTCAGTTATTAAGCACTTGGACAAGAACTTAACACGTGTTGTTACTTCCCAAGTTCTAGTCTAAATATTCGCCAAGTATCATCACTTGATTCGTTCCAGCTAGGTGCTTGGACGAGTTAATCACTCTTTTGTTTTGCATTTACAAGTTATATATAGACGTCACAATATGAATCAGTACAAAATTAGAAAATAAATTTAGTTATTTCTACTGAGTTGTACAAGCTACGCATGAGTCTACTCTACAAAAGTAGAGTGTGGTGCAGAATACGTATAAAATAAAGATAAGTGGAATATGTACTTGGCTGAAGTTTTTCGAGGGGTCCAAGGTGCTTGAACAAGTACTTGACAAGTAACTCAAGGTACTTCTAAGTAAAAGTACTTGAAGAAAACCATCAGAGCCTGGCTTCATTACTTATACCAAGCACTTTTTCAAGTACTTGACTTCAAGTACAGTCATTGACTTCAAGAGCAGGACTTGTTTGTTTATTTTTATAATGGTAATGAGAAAGTGCACGATTATTGAATCACCATCGAGTAGGTTCAGAAAAAGTGTAGATAATTTATTTTGACTACGAATAGTACACATCTCGAGGAGAAACCGGCTAAGATGTTGACCATTAGGTTCACTTTTAACTTCTCAAAAACGAGATAGAGATTAAGGTGCAAGACAATATAACTATAATAACCTTGCTGTTTAACCTGAGATGCAGTACAATTGAAATCTCTCTCACCATATACACTTTTCCGTATGTCAATAAACCTTTTATGTAAGAGAATTGTCAGAGGATTTTTAAGCGAGAAAAGCCGTTGTGGATTTATTTATTAAAAAACGAAGAGGGTTTATGAGAAACGTATAGAATTTTTCGCTTGAAGTGCAATACCTTTACGATTTATTAATCCAGCTCCGATACCTTTCTGAATTTTTAAAAAATGCTTTTTTAGCATTTTGAAGGATGTTTGAAGAAACCCTGTTTTTTCATCGGGAATCGATGGGAGCCCATCACCAGACGTAGTATTTCATGTTGATCGCGAATTCGGCCTTTATTTTGAAAACACTGAATTTTCAATTAAAAAATTTTAATTTAAAATTTTTGGAAACTTTCATTTTAATTTTCTGACCTAGAGATTTTCCTAAAATAATTTTAAAAATATATTGTCGATAGAGAATTCAATTTTCTACAAAATGGCGCGTTTTATTTTGAAAGATATTTTTCAGTCGAGGCACAAGGCCTCGATTAAGCTAACGAAAAAGGTTAAGCTAAACAATATTATGATTTTGTTTTATCTTTGTGTAGTCCAGAAATATGTTAAAGATGTTAAATGAGCTGTTGCATTACGCACATTTCAATCTATTAAATAAAATTCTTAAATTAGAATTGTTTATCACCTGAATAAAATGATCATTTTTCTCCAGTACGTCATTGGAGAAGTGTAAAATAATTTTAGCTACATCTGTCCAGGAAATTCTTGTGTCTTTCGTTTTTTTAAAAGCAGATAAATGAATATTCGTAGACTTGTCGTTTGACGTGCTATGGGCATCCTGATGTTTAGATCAGGAATGCTAAATTATGTATAGCCAACGTATAAAGCAAGATATATATAACATAAAAATTTATTTACAAAAGCTATGTATAAAAAACATTTTATGGTTTTATCCTGAAATATATAAGTAAAAACAAGACGTAGTATGAATACCTTAGATCAATTTTACTACTCGTATTCAGATACAAGTTTCTACCTGCTCCACCACCTCCTATTGCGTACCATCCATTACTGCCTGGCGCATATCTAGTTAACAGGCGATTTCCTTGCCATGACGCACGAATATTATTATATCTCGATCCATAATAGTTTGGTCTTACTTGAAAGTTATTACTCGATGGAGACTCAATATTTTTTATCATTGTATGAACATTTGCATAGCCACCACTGTTTGGATTATGACCTGAGCCATAGAACGCACCCGGTATTCCACCACTTGGGTTAGAATTGACACCTGACCAGCCAAGATAAGGTATTTCATTTTTTTGTCGGCGCAATCTCAATGAGCGGCTATGGACTAAATAATACGAATACACATATTATGTTTCCTGTAAATTAAAGTTTTTTAGAACTAGAATTTTTTAATTTTACTCGGAAATAGGCAAATATGTCTTATTACATCAAATATAGGCTTTTACTAGGTTTTTGGAATATTTTTGAAAAACAAATGTTGTCACGGGGTTCAGCATAGTCGACTACCTATGTTTCCGTTCGTGGTCGGAGCTACCACATCTAAGGAAATAGTGATCCTGGGACTCTCAGGAAACTCAATGCCACACCTAAACCACGAAAAACTAAGAGTTCGCTTAGTTTCTGTTTTGGAGAGAACATCTGGACTATCGATCTGTGGAAAAAAATCGACCTATTTCTATGTCAGTTTTCAGAGATCCAAAATTTGGTTAGTTTTCCAAAAGATCCTCTGGAAAACCCGCTACGAACCCTGCGAAAAAGAAACGTTGTTAAAATTTCTCATCATACATTTGTACTATAGCACTAATGGTATAATATACCAAATCTAGAAAGAAGTTCATCTTCTGCATCAAAAGTTATAAGCAGTCCGGCTCAGAAGTGTAAAAGGGTCATGATTCATATATCAAAGGGATATGAAGCTTTTTGATCACCAAACGGCTTTAGATACAAATGATCACAAAACAAATGAGTTTTGATCACCAAATTGTGATCGGCACCCTTCAAATCATTCATTTCTCAACCAGCATATAATATAACAAACAGCATATTCACAAGCGATAAGCTGTGCTAACTTTCTTTGGACGTCCTTTACCTTTACGTTTCCTAATGCTTGAATAGATGTTCACTACCCTCACATAAGTCAAATAACATAGCCAATACAACCGTTGGCTTGCTTACATATTTATCGTTCTCATCAGAGGGTTGCGTTCAATGATTTTCTGATATGGCAACAATCCTGATTAATTACTAGTACCATTACAGTCCTGCACATGCCCAGTTGGCATCTCAGTGTTGCCATATCAGAAAATCATTG